AATTGTGACAAAAAACATCGACTAGGAACAGGACCACTTACATACAAAGACAATCCTGTTTTTTACTAGCTTTTTCAGGGGACAATAACGATAACTAACACAAGACCAATCAAGACATCCTAAATCCCTTAATTATGCCTCCCTGGTAAGGAGTAAAGGCTGCTATATTTAGCCAAATTCAAAATTAATAAGCAACAATGCATACTATAGGCAAATATATCGCCATTAGCCCAGCGTGTACCTGCAAGGTCGGCACATTTCTGACAGGAAAAGTGTTCTGTTATTTTATGTAATGTATATATTTTAAATATTTAACAGGTGAATAAATGTTTTAAATAATAAATACCTGAACCAAAAGTTGAAGGTAATTAAAAAAAAAAATGGATGAAAATAAACAAATACTCACTTTGTTTGTTTCTTGTAATTTTTAATTTGTTCAAACAATTGTATATATACTATTTTAACTTTTGACTTAAAAGTCTAATTCAGATTTTACAATATATTTTTTTTTTAAATCTTTTTAAATTGTAAGTTTACATCCACAATTTTTGTAGATGAGCACTGATGATGGCAAATAAGCCGAAAGCGCTTTGCATTGATTAATAAAAAAGTTTTGCACGAAATACAAGTTTTTCCTTTTTGAATCTAAACTACGTGCACACAGCTGTCAACCTTTTTTGGTTTTTTTAAACAAATACTATTTCTACAAAATTTGCTGTCATTAAATAGAAAAAAGTAACTTTTACTAAATATCTAAGGATTGTTCATAGATCAAAAATTAATTTTTACTCAACGTATAGATTACATAAGTTATCAAAAAATCACAGCAAACAATTTACCTTTAATATTTTTTTTACCAAAAAATTTAAAAGTTCACGACATAAAGAAGGATTTATAAACTTCGTTTAATGGCCGTTCAGTTCACGCTCAGTTCGAATTGGCCAGTTCGCGCTGGACCCAATTTATAAAGTCGTTAGCCGTTCGTTCGTCGCTGCGACTTAACCACAAATTCCACAAAATAAATTATATTTCATTGTTATTTTGTTTTAATTATATTTGCAGATGGCGTTGGTTATAAAATAAAATCGTTACAATTTCGTATCCAAAACAAACCTACCATGTCATTTTAGAATCGCGTTGACGCATGCATGGCCAAATAACCAGATACGTGTTTTTCATTGGCTCGACGTTCACGCTGAACGTCGGTGAACATAAAAACTGGTCATCCCTCAACGTGAACTGAATTCGAACTGAGCGTGAACTGAACTAAGTTTATAATTCCAGCTTTAAACTATAGGAAATACTGAAAAAGTAATATTCTTCCAAATTACAAGCAGTAAAATGTCGGTGTCATAGATAAAATCATTCCCTTAATTTAAATAATTTTTTCACAAAAAACTAAGAGGCGATACGTCATCAAACTTATATATTAAGAATAACATATCCTTTCAAATTTCAGGATCAAAGTTTCTGAAAAATGTCGTCGTCTTAGCTAAAATCATCCCCCTCCACTAAATTTATAAAATTAAAAAAAAAAAAAAAACTAAGAGGCGCCATGCCAGAACACTCACAGAAAATAATATTGTAATATTTTTTCAAATTACATGTTCAAAACTTCAGAAAAGTATCCGCGTCATTGTGTAAACTATTGGTATTTCCAATAAATAATTAATCCGTTATTCATTAATTAACAATGAGAATACTACAAATTCGCAATTGCCCTTTCCTGTGATTCTTTAAATTCTATTTTCTATATTAAAACAAAAATAGAATTTTAAACAGGTATTTTGGGGACATATCTAAATAATCTTTATGAATGTAAAAAAAATATAGTTTTAAGGGAGTATTTATTTTAAATTAGGTTTTAAGTGTTGTTTCGGCAAACTAGGTAAGTTGACGGAAATTCTGTCTGAATGCAATAGCTAAAAATTACATGTAAAAGATTTGTTCCTGAATGTTTTTAAGCTATTGCATAGCTTTTATCGCGGGCTTTGAGCGCGGCGACCGAATCAAGAAAAAAAAAAAAACGAATCCGTAACGAAAAAACCTAACACCCCCCACTCCGACCGGTACAGCGGTGCGGCGTTAAACAATATTAACTTCTCATTTATTCAATAAAAGAAAATCGAAAAATGAAAAAATCGAAAACCGAAAAATCAAAAAAGAAATTCCGTAACGAAAATAAACCTAACACCCCCACTCCGACCGGTACAGCGGCGCGGCGTTGAAAGCCGTGCATCGTCTAACATCGTTTCAGTTCGGCAGACTTCGGCACGGTGTTTGTGTGCGTGCGACTAGACGTATGCGTGTAGACTAGATGCTAACTGCTCATAACTGATTCTATCTCTTTTAGACACAATTTCGGAAAAATTGAATTTGAACTTGAATAATGATCCACAAGAATCCACAACAAAATATAGGACCACCATTAACGCGGTATTTTCCAGATATTTAGAGGATATCAAGTCTCAAACTTAAGTTTCTTATTTCAGTTACCATAAACCTATAGTTTCAATGATAAAAATTCCTGAATAACCAACATGTATTGTAAGACAATAAAAATATTTTAAACAATATTAACTTCTCATTTATTCAATAAAAGAAACAAATTTGTTTTCTTATCGGTCACCACGCTCAAAAAGTGTAACTTAAATTAATATCAAAGAAAAAATAAATACTGAATAAATAAAATAAATAAATAATTATAATTGCATAAGTTGATAAAAAAATGCTATGCAATAGCTTTACCGCGGCAGTCCCCGAGTGCCACACGTATTTTTTTTTTATTTATTAAATTGATACTAATGTTCTGAATTATTCGTAAAAAAATTACATTTGGAATTATGTGCTAAATAATGGTTTTTGCTGTTTTGATAGAATAATGTTTATCCGCGGAAACTCGTGATTTTAAAGATCTAAAAAATATGCTTAGATGTGTTGCTTCTTAATGATTTTAATTTATTTAATTGATCCTAATGTACTTAATTATTTGTACTAAAAATTGTATTTTGCATTTTGTGATAAATATTTCTTTCTATTGTTTTGATAAAATATTTAACTGTGGAAACGTGAACCTTTAATCAAAATCAAAAAAACTATATATTTAGAATCGTAGTTTTCTCAAGATTTTTTGAATAGGGAATTAACAATAACTTTTCGAATTTTTGGTACAAAAATTATATTTTGATTTTTATTCCAAATGTGCTTGTTTTATCTGCACCTTTCAAATATTCAGTCGGATTGAATTATAGACTATGATATTTGTAAACTTTCATAATAGGTACCTACCTAGATATTAAAATTAAACATTTTGCCGAATAACACTGCTGAAACTTTAAGGCAACTCCTTAATTAAATCGAATCCTTTTAAAACATGTTTTAAAGTGTTTTAATAAAGAAATGTAGAATTTTTGCATAAGATTACTTTAATTTTTTTAGAAATATTATCTGATTTTCAGGAGCAATTTTAGAATTTCTTATCTCCTGATTTCTTAAGGCTGAATGACAACCATGGTCGATTCCAGTGGCGGCACTACAACTATTAATGAATGAATAAATGAATATTTTAGTAATTGCAATATTTGTTTTTAATACGTTGAAAACCAACTATAAACATTATTATTTAGGCAACTGACTTTTCTTCATATTTTGAGATTATTTTTAAATGTAGAAAGCTTGACATTGATTTTTGTGTAAAAAATATTATTACATGAAACTTTACCTACCATTTTTCAGTTTTTATTGTAAATTTAATCATATTCACTATCTGTCACACATGTTAAATAAAATAATATATTTTTTAAATACCCTTTATTGGCAAAAAACAAGTAAACTAAAATGTGTATTTTATAAATTCAGTCCCATCACAATACATATTACACAGATACAAACTAGAATAAAGATATACAATGCGTGGCACTCTAAATTATAATTTTCACCGTTTAACAGACTCACTCAACCCCCATTTTCAATCAGATTATTTTCAGAATCAATAGGCTTCATCCCCTTGTAGAGCTTGATTTTTCCAAAAATTTCAAGTTGATATTATTGTTTGTTTTTGAGTTAAATTTATTTTAAATATTTCAACCCACCTTAACCCCCCCCCCCCACTTTTATTCATTTTTTTTTTTCACAATAAATAGGTCTCATATCTCCTTATAGAGCTTGATTTCTACTAAAAATTTCATGTTGATATCGCTTTTCATTTTCTATTTATGATTCTTTTTTAATTTCAACCCCCCTTAAACCCCCATTTTTAATCATTTTTTTTTTCAAAATTCAAGGCCTTTTTTTCCTTATAGAGCTTGATATTTGCTGAAAATTCGGGTCTGAGGGTATAGGGTAAAAGGAATGGTGGTAGGTATCTTGTGTTCCCGTTTCAGGTCTATTTATAACTTTCAGAGTGACACTGTAAACTTTTGATTCTTGGTTGGATTACGCGTTGGTTGTACTCAATGCCACTGGTTAGATATAACGTCAGTTAAACTGACTTGTGTAGTGATGGCCGATATCGTGTTATTTTTATAACAGTTTTATTCGTGCCCATAATTTTAAATAACAGTGCCTTTAAGTCGTGACGTGATCACAGATTCAAATGACCTGTTATGTACTATGAACATCTAATACGTTACGTCTTGCGTCGATATGAAATTGTCTTATACATTTATAACAAAAGTCAACAAGGGTTAAAATAATGAATAGAATAACCAAGTATTAGAAAAATCGTGAAAATATCACAGGCAACACGGCAAGTCACAGTTTGGTAATTGCTTTAGTAACAGTCGTTACCTGCTACTTTTTAATATCAGTGAAAAAGTAACAGTTCATAATATTGCCCTTCACTAGACTTGTGCTCTTTGAAGAAAATTTGGGCGCGATTCGACACGTAATTAATTTGTTAAATTTTGATGTGACAGGACCGGCTTGTTTGGTTTCATTAAATGTACGTAAACAGCCAAATTTCTGAAAGAGTCTATAAGCCTTTTCTATACAGAACTTACCTTAAGTGGGCAGCCATCAAACTCTTTGTGCTGAATTGCATTTCACACTTCGTACACTTGATGTCTCTTATTTTCAGATGAACGGTCTTAACGTGGTCGAGGAGCTGTTGTTTCGTCGTTAAAATGATGTCGCAACTCTTACAACAGTTGGCCAATGCAGATTTTCGAATCGCTGAAAGTACTTTGGCCATGACATCGTGTAACAACGAGTGTTTGTTCAACATGTCTTCTTGCTCGAATACACATCCACATTTCATGCAATAGTACGCCTCTGGATGACAATTTTTGTGCGATTTCAACTCGTCAGTACTGGAAAATCTACAAACATTTGAACAAAAATAATATACATTTATTTAGACGAGACTTTATTTAAATAGAGTAACCCAATAGGGAAGAATTTTTTAGTGATTTACGAGACGGGACCCAACAAAAAACACATCAGTTGCCTAATCGGTGTTATCGTAGGATATTATCATTTGAGTGTAGTGTTGTTGATCACCCACGTGATTTGGATTACCTAATACCCTTCATCCTAAAGCCGAAGCCGTTGACAACATCGATCCATTGTGTCATTTTTTGTAATCACAGCGTATGATTTACTTTATATAACCAGTTACATAAAGTTGAACTTTATATAACTAGTTACATAAAGTTGAACATTATGTAACTGGTTGCGAAAAATTCATTGTCGCCAGTTGTTTAAAAGCAACATATACATTGCTTCTTTGCTCCTTTACCCAAATGTTAATTATCAATTTATATTTAAATTTGCGCCCCCGCGCCACGTACCAACGAGCTCTGCGAATGATTTGATTGGTTCAGTCAAGCCGAGAAACAAGTTAGCCATAAGCGGCAATGTGGTGGCAATCATCGGTTGTATTTTGACGACAATAAATCAGTTTAATCTAAATTCACGTTTAAATATATGTTTTAAATGAGTGATCGAATATCAATAAATAAATAAACTTAACACAAATCTCTCTCGGAGGTACACGTTGCTTTAATTGAAACTAATAAGACTGAAGATTTCTTATTAATTAATGACAGACAACGAAAATGTAATCATGTTTAGTTGTCATTTATCTAAAATTTGTATGTTCTTAAACTAATATATAATATAGACGGTATTTTGTTGTACTGTACTAAATTTTTTAAACGATTATTTATTATACATGGTTTTCTAAACGGACATTATATTCCGATTATCTTTTAAAAGTCTATTAAAGTCTAAATCAAAAACACTATGCTGTGTGTTTCACAGGGAAGTGTCTTAGGTCATATTTCATTTGTTTTGTCTAAAAGATTTACCCAAAATGTTTAAAAATGATTTTGTAGCTCTCACTAATTATGCCGATGTCACCATTACTATCTAGAAACCATTACAAAGTATTTAAAGAAGACACCTCGAATGCTGTACAGAGAATTTCAAAATAGTTTGGTGAAAACTCGCTATTATTAAATTTATCTTAAATCAATTGCATACTTTTCAAGCAGTCGTAATAAAAATGAATATCCAGAGAATATTAACTAATGTAATACATTGCTAGAATATTCTAAATTGACAAAATTTCTCGGCTTAATTATGGATAACATCTAACTTGTGCTGAACATCTACATTTACTTTGTGGAAGGCATAGCAGAGCTTACTTTGCGTTGAAATAGGTTAAAAAAAGTCGTTGATCAGACTTATCTTATTCGTCAAATAAAATACGTACTAAAGGGTAATTTTGCGTGTATTGACAGATTCATTTTTAATAGAATTCGTAAATAAATAAATAAAAAATGTATTTTTTGGTTTTAATAAAAGTATATTGATTTATAAAACAATTTTAATAATTGAGATTTGAGAAATTCCAGCGAAGCGGAAACGGGTCAGCTAGTAGTATGTTATTGTGCTGAAACGAGCAAATTCCGTTTTTATAGTTCAGAAATGTATCATTAGATATATTCTCAATGTTTATATTAACATCTTGCAGAGAAATATTCAAGAGGTTAATAATTTTAACTTTATCTTCTGTATATATTTTTGAACTATCTGTGTACATTTTTAAGAATAGTGTAATTTTTTACTTTCCTGTCTGTATACAGATAATAGTCTAAGACAGTGAAAATTTTATCATTTACAGGTTCAATTATTACCGACACAGCGAGAAGTGGGCTCCCAGAAGAATAACTCTAATGTAATGGTAGGGGGGTTAAATATGAATTTTTTGATGTAAACTAATTGATAGTGCACAAATAAGTAGGATGCAAAATTCAAGAAGGCTAGGTGGAAGAATAAGGGAGATATTTCCGATACTAAGAGCGTCGATGTTCCACTTGATTGAACACTTTTCCTTGTATTTTATATATTATTTAATCAAGTGAGCTGGTCCCCTCAAAATTCGAAAATTTTAATTTAAAAGCAGCATGCGTTTAACCACCTATTGACCATATTTGACCATTCAGCAACTTTTTTGGACTAACCTCAGAAAAACAAATATATATAAAAAAAAAAAAAAAAATTATGCCAACGACTCAAAGTTTATATTTTTTAAAACTGACTGCACCATAGGATTAACCAATTTTTAACCATATTTGACTACCCATCAGATCGTTGTTAACCACCCCTTAAATTAATTTTAGAGAGTAAATTAGAGAAAAACAAGAGTTCTGGGACGAATTTCAACTTTGAAAAAATGATCAATCGCCAGGAAGATACAATTAAGATCAAAAAACATTTTAAATTATGTATTAACGTTTGACCACCTCCTAAAATAATTATAATGACCTTAAAAAATGTGATAATTTGAAAAATACAATTTTAAAATCGAAAAATGGTCAATCGACATAGAGGCACAATAAAGACCCATAACGGTTTAAAATTATTGTTCGACATTTGACCACCCCCTACAATAATTATAATGTGCTAAAATAGTGGTGAAAATTCATAAAATACAATTTCGAGTTGGGGAAAAAGGTCAATCGGCATAAGTGCAAAATAAGGATCCATATTGGTTTAAAATTATAGTTTGGTCTATAATTTTTGTGCTATACATGTATTCTCTAAAAGGGACCGTAATGAAAAAATTTGAGAAAAGTGTAAAATTTTAAGTTTTCAGTATTTTCGTTGACAATGAATATACAGGGTGTCCTGAAATTAGACGGTCATATTTTAACAGCGTAATCTACATTCTAAAATAGGAGTAAAAGTTCATATAAACATAGGTCCGAAAACGTTTCTTTTCCGAGATACAGGGTGTTAAAAGTGAAGTCCTGATGACACACTTTTGTAAATATTTTCTAAACGTTTAAAGATAACGAAGTGAAATTTGGTACAAATGCTTACCTTTTTACGCTCTATTTAATGGACTAAACTCCAGTTTTTTATCATCTTCATAGGTGGGTAAATTAGGGGGGACTTAGGGTAAAATTGCCCTAAGTTTTTCTGTTGACAGTTTTTAACATTTTTGACTATAAAATTTGGAAAACCAATGTTTTCTTTATAATAAAGCTACTTTTGTTGCATCTCGCTAGAGCGCACCATTTTCAAAAGAAAAGCATTTGAAAATTTTATGATAAGTTGATTTTATCTTATTCGAAAATGTAAACAATAATTAGTAGCCCTGTGGAATCAGAAATTTTATTTTTTTTTAACTTTGGAAAACCAGTGCCTAAAGAAATACAAAAATTCCGCGTAATCAAAATATCCCCTGACCACAGCATGATACGCCCAAGGCCGACTGCTATTAGCCAGCTCAATCATTTGGTTTTGAATGTTTTCCTACAGCAAGTGCTGTAGTCAAGGGGCTATTTTGTTTTTGCGGAACTTGCGTTTAAGTTAAATAGAGAGTAGTTGATCTTATAAACATTTACAAGGGTGATACAATAGGTTGTAAAAAATAACCGGAGTTTGTAATAACTAGAGAGAAAAGTCATGTGTTGGACACATCAGATTTTTTTATTAAAGAGATTTCCAGAGATATAATACAAGACACAGAAATAAAATTAATTTACTAGTTACATAAAAAAGTAACTTATTACTCTCCTGATTATAGAGGACCTACAATTATCAATAAATTTCCAGAGGACATCAAATTCTGCAATCTATTCATGATTTTAAATTAAAATTAAAAGATTTTTTTACAAAAAAATGTTTTTATATTGTAACTAAATTTCTATCAATTACTTAGTTTTAGAATTACGTATATATTAACTATATTCCAATACAATATTTTACCATCAAAGTGAGTTATATAAATAAATAAATGAACAAAAATTGTCACAATAAAGCTTGGAATTTCTTATGGAGATTAACATGGGACACTTATCGATTTTGCGCTTGTACCGACAGCAAAACAGATTCGTAATCAGCACCCTCAAAAACATTATATAAGCCACTGAAAAATTCTTCCCCATTTTTTGCATAGAAGAATAATAAATATTCTGTTTCTCAACAAGATTGTTTCACTTACATTTCATCACACAAATCACATGAAAACCCATGAGTTTGTTTGTGTTTCAACATGTCCTTATGTCGTATAAATTTCATTTTACATCGCGTGCAGTGAAATTCGTGCTCCTCTAGAATATTATGATGGCTTATTAAGTGTTTTCTCATGCCTTTCGAAGTTCGATAGTCCGTTTGGCACACGGGACAGTGAAACGCATCATTTATATAGTCATGATCAGTAACAGGATTAGTCGTCTATAAAAAAGTTTTTATACGAAATCGTTAGATATAAAGATGAAAAAATGGAAGAATATTGCATTCAAGGTACAGTACGACAGATATAGCTGAAGCCGTTAAGGTCATATGCGAATGTGAGTAGAAAAGCGAATCTCACTTATATATGTTGAGTATGCAGCTCTGATTTTATCTAATTTTTTATTTACACTTACTTGTTGACTATATTGTATAACTAGATGGTTAGATGTTTTTTACTTTCCTATCTGTATACAGATATAAGGAAAGTATAGGAATCATGATTTTTTTCGACCTCGAGTTTTTGACGGATTTTTACGTTTTGAGGTCCCCTGAATCCGTTTTGACTATTTTCGCGATGATGTCTGTGTGTGTGTGTGTCTGTATAACGCATAACTCATGAACCGATACACATAAAAACACCAAATTTTAAACTTAAGCTTTGTTTCAGCGTCCAATGAGCTGATTAGATTTTGGGCAGAGTCGGAACATCTGGGGGGGTACTTTATAGGTGGTCATTTTTATATTTTATGGAATATATTCGTTATTTACGTTTGGAGAAGAACATTCTTCAAATAAAAGTTACTTACAATATTATTATCTATAATTTTTGTTCTATATAAAATTTTCCTAAAATGGTCCGTATTCGAGAAATTTGACAAAATGTAAAAAAAATAATTTTTTATAAAAAGTGTTTAAATAAAAGTTGTTTGTAATATAATTCTCTATAATTTTTATCCTATAGATAATTTCTCTAAAATGGACCGTATTCAAGATATTTGAGAAAATGTGTAAATTTCGAAATTTGAAGAAAACTCAAAAACGAATAAAGAAAAAAACATTAAATTTTAAACTTAAGTTTTATTTCGGCCTGACGTGAAATGATTAGATTTTGGACAAAGTCGGAACATCTGGGGGGGTACTTTATGGGAGGCCGTTTTTATATTTTATGGAATATATCTGTTATTTATGTTTGGAGAAAAAAATTGTTCAAATAAAAGTTACTTCTAATATTATTATCTATAATTTTTGCTTTTTGTAAAAATTTCCTGAAATGGTCCGTATTCGAAAAATTTGACAAAATGTGCAAAATTCTGATTTTTATGAAAATTGTTGAAATAAAAGTTGTTTGCGATATCGATCTCTATAATATTTGTTCATACATGATTTTTTTAAAATGGACCGTATTGGATAAATTGTAGGAAAAGTGCTAAATTTAAATTTTTCAGTATTTTCATTTTCAATGAATATCTATAGAAAAATGTTTCCCGGTAGATGTATGTGGACAATGTATATATTTAGTTTATCCTCTAAACATTTATAGAGATGCTGCAATAGGTTGTACAAAATAACCGGAAAAAGCCTGTAATAACTAGATAGGAAAGTCATGTGTTGGACACATCAGATTTTTATAAAAGGTTGTCAGTTTTTGATTAAATAAAATAAAAGTCAGAACCAATATATTTTATTCCAAAATATTCAAAAGGTTATGAGCCCAGGCCGACGCTAAGAATAAAGGAATATAAATATTAAACATGGACAAGTTTCCAAAATTTGAAAAACTCCATGGAAAACATAATTTTCATTCGTGGAAAACCATGGCATGTGCGTATTTTGAGTTAACTAATTTAGAAAAATTAGTATTTAGCGAGGAAAAGGATCCTGCACTTCAAAAGAAGCCAGAAGAAAATGCCGCAGCTAAAGAATATATTGAACAATGCGAAAGTTGGAGATACAGACATTATCTTGCTAAAACATTCATTCTCTTTAATGTTGATTCAGAAATTGTACCCCAAATTACATGTTATCCTGACGCAGTATGTATGTGGAACGCATTAAACAACATTTTTGACAAGAAAAATGAGTATTCCTTGCATGCTTTGGTTAAGGCTATAGTTGGTATTAAGTGTGAATCTGTAAAAACTATTCCTGAGCATATTGGTAAATATAATGAACTTTGGGCAAGATTAATTGAAAGAACCGCAATCAGGTCTAATGAAACAGACAAAGAATCACTAGAAGCAGCATTCAGACCATTGGCGACCTCTTTAAAAGCGAAAGGATCACTATTTTTAACTACGTTACCAAGTGAAATCGATAACATTATAGATAATTTGACAACCAAAGATAATTTAACATACGATGATGTATGTGCCAGATTACTTGAACTTAATGTAGTAAATACGGGGTGTGCAGTAAATACAGAGTGTGAAGAAAATCAAGCATTTTTAAGTAACCAGAAAAAGAAAAAAATCCTTAAATATCAATCCTTAGAATGCTTATTCTGCAAAGAAAATAAAAGGTGGTATAAAGGTCACACTATTAATAATTGCAGAAATAAAAGAAAAAATGAACAAGCAAATAATACCTTCGCTACTTCTGATTCCGATGAAAACATAGCATATCCAGCTTTCACATACAAGAGCAGGAACTGGCAGTGGATTTTCGACACAGGAGCTACATCACACATGTCGGGAAATAGAGAATGTTTCAAGGAATTAAAACCATTTAATAGTATTATTCGTTTGGGAAATAATGATGTTATTCATGTATCTCACATTGGTAATGTTACCATTAAGGCGTTGTTGCCGTCCAATAAAATAAAGACAATCACTCTTTACGATGTATTATATTCAAAAGATTTAGTGTTCTCTTATGTCATGGGAAAAAATAAAATCTAAAGGAATATGTATGAAAGGCAACGAGGATGAGATAACTCTATGGAAAAATGCAAAAATAGTAGGTTGGGTAATTTCCTCTAACAAACAACAAGTCTTTCAAGAATATCATGAATTTGCTAATGCTTCTATCACAGAGTGGCATAGACGGTTGGGACATTTGCCTATTAACATGTTCGATGCTATAAAGAAAGTGGTTGCTGATCCTGAAGTACTTCCAAACGAACGACCAATTATAGAATGTGAACCCTGTATTAAATCCAAAATGACACGAGTTGTCCCAAAAGTTGAGGGTAATTCATGTGCAAGAATTTTGGAGAAAATTCATTCGGATGTTGCAGGACCTTTTTCTTCAAAATCTCTTGGTGGAAAACAATATTACGTAACATTAATTGATGATTTTTCTCGCTACACCGAAGTGTTTTTCATTTCTCACAAGAGTGAAGTACAAAATGTTATAAAAGAGTATATTTTAAAAATAGAAAGAATTACTGGATTAAAAGTGAGTTTCTTCAAATCTGATAATGGTGGCGAATACATGTCAAATTCCCTAAAGGAGTTTTTTAAGGGCAATGGAATCACAGTGGAAAATTCAATTCCACGAATTCATGAAACTAACGGATTAGCCGAACGTTTAAACAGAACTTTAACAACAATGGCGAGAACATGTTTGATAGATTCTAAGTTGCCACAGAGTCTTTGGGCAGAAGCAGTGGCATATTCCGCTTATACAAAAAACAGACTACCACACTCATTTCATAAACTCACACCTTTTGAAATGTTTTTTAAGGAACAACCATTTATATCTCATCTGAAAATCTTCGGTGAAAAAGCCTATTTGCATATCCCTAAAGAAGCACAAGCAACTGGAAGTAAATTTTGTCCCAGATCGTTCGACGGTGTGATGGTGGGTTATGCTAAAAAAAATGGGTGGTATCGATTTTATGACGGCAAGAAAGTAATAATATCAAGAGATTATAAAATTTCGTAGACAAGAAGAAGTAGTGTTTATTGAGAGTTTTCCAAAGGGTAATACTTGGAACGAAATAGAAGAAAGAGAAGATGCAAAAATAAACGATGATAATGAACAAAACCCAAATTCGGATTTAAATATTGAAGAAAATATAATTAGAGACGAAGATGACGAAAATAAAGTAATTTCGGAAGTATCCCCAGAAATAGTCCAACCAAGGCGTAGCTGCAGGACAAGTAAGTCTCCAGATTATTATGATGAATACTTGCACTACGCTAATGATGATCCAGTTTCGTATACGGAAGCAGTTACAGGACCAGAATCTCATAATTGGATCTTATCTATACAGGATGAACTAAAGTCTATGGAGGATAATCATGTATGGGAAATAGTCCAACAACCACCTAATGGAAGAGTAGTTGGATGCAAGTGGATTTTTAAGAAAAAAAGATCGGATAAAGGAGAAATTATAAAATACAAATCCAGACTAGTTGCACAGGGATTTACTTAAATTCCTGGTATTGACTTCGATGAGACTTATGCCCCGGTAATTCGTTATGAAACAATAAGAATATTGTTAGCTCATTGTATTCATAGACAAATGATTGCAAGACAACCGCCTTTTTAAACGGTGATCTAGATTTTAATATTTTTATGAAAATACCAGAAGGCATAATTGCTCAGCCAGGGAGAGTGTGCTGTTTAAAAAAGAGTATTTATGGCTTAAAACAATCTCCCAGGCAGTGGAATCAAAAATTAGTTACTGTTTTAAAAACTATTAATTTAAGCCAATCTAAGGCAGATCCTTGTTTGTTCGTTTCAGAGGATGGTGCCCAAATAATTGCTATTTATGTCGACGACCTTCTAATCCTAGGATCCACTGAAAATCATGTTGAAATCGTGGAAAAAACTTTGAAGCAATATTTTGGTGTAACTCATCTAGGCATACCTAATTTTCTACTTTCCCTACAAATATCTTGGGAAAAAGACTGTGTTTTTCTATCCCAAAAACAGTACATAACAAGGATTTTAGAAAAATATGGTATGAAAAATTGTAAACCTGTTTCAACACCAATGGATATTGGAACAAAACCTCAGAAGGCCAAAGAAACTGATCCTAGGACTAACAAAGAAGTCTATCAATCTAAGATTGGCAGTCTTTTATATTTGGCTTTGGGAACAAGGCCGGATATCGCATATTCCGTAAACATCCTCTCTCAGTTTAGTTCAGATCCAACAAATGAACATTCCAATATGATTCAACACATATTTCGCTACCTAACAGGAACTGTGGATATCAATTTGAAGTACGAACAGACAATAAATCCAAAACTTTATATGTATAGTGATGCTTCATATGCAGATTCATTGGACACTAGAAGATCAACGAGTGGGTATGTAGGATTTTATGGAAATGCTGCTGTTACATGGACCACCAAAAGGCAACAAAGTGTAGCTGTTTCCACAACGGAATCTGAATATATGGCCCTGTCTTTATCAAGTCGACAACTAATCTGGATGGCCCATGTGCTTAAAGATTTAAAACGTAAGCATAGGCCTATGATATTGTGTGATAATCAAGCCTCTATACATATAGCATCCAACCCAGTTTTACACCAGCGAAGCAAGCATATAGATGTTCATTACCATTATGTAAGAGAGAGGTTCATGGACAATACAATAGATATCCAGTATGTCTCAACTAAAGAAAATATAGCAGATATGCTAACGAAGCCAATTGGCAAGGAACTTTATAAATATTTTCTCAAGAAATTTACAAAAATCATCACTGAGGGAGACTGTTGAGTATGCAGCTCTGATTTTATCTAATTTTTTATTTACACTTACTTGTTGACTATATTGTATAACTAGATGGTTAGATGTTTTTTATAAAAGGTTGTCAGTTTTTGATTAAATAAAATAAAAGTCAGAACCAATATATTTTATTCCAAAATATTCAAAAATATAGTCGAAGTTGTGCATTCTGAGACGGTGCCAAATATAAGTGCCGTAAAAAAAATGCGTTCCGAGTACATTTGTTCGCGACTTTTTTTTATTTACTTCTTATAGGACATATGATTTTCCTAAAGAGTTGTCCTCTTTCCAGCGATGAAATTATTTATTTGATGATAATATGCTAATGTATGGTATTATTTGACTGTGCAGATCAAAATAGTTATCGATTTACGCTAATAACGTTAACGCATAAAAGTAATTCCGTAAGTCTACGGAAAGGGTTAAGAGAAATAAGGGAAGCCAAATGTATCCGAATTATGAAGTAATTTTTACGCTATTTTTGCAAATAATTAAAGATTTGATTGTACAGCGCAGTTGTATTACCAGAATCTGATTCAGATTGAATAATTTGGTTTATCAAGATTTGTTCATTTGCTCAACCTTTTACAATGCTCCAAATATTTACAACATATCTTCTTATAACTTTCTCACTCTGCCAAAACAGTAGTTCTGTCCTAATAGACTGGACATCACAGATGCACATCTTGGAGCTAGTCAACTGGAAAGCACTACCAATTCTTGCACGGACTACCAATAAACTCACCATGTGAACTGTTAGTAACAATAAAAATGTAAATATCTGTTATACAGAAGAATATTGTCCCTTCATTTTTAATCCCTAAAATTTAAATGTTAAACTACATTAAACCCTAAGAGCTGAGGTTTTCTTCTTGTATCTATAAGATTGAGGAGGTATATGTAGCCAAAACTGGTCGCCAAAGTTTAATAAATTATGTAGTACTGATTTTGCGTTATTATTGTCTATTTTTTTAAGAGAATATTTATTTTGTTTATTATAGTTATTAATTTGTTTTTTTTTTAAGAATATTTATATTTAATAAAAATCTATTGTTTTGGTTTTTATTCCACCAATCTAATGTTCTACAAAATTTACACCTGGAAAAACTGGACCGGGATATTCTAGCGAAAATAACATTTGCGCATATTACGGGTTTTGCTATTCCTGCCGATCTGTACTTTGAGAATATAAAGGAAACCTAAATTCAATAAAGTAAATTTTAAATTTTTCAATAAATATTTTACCAAATAAATCAACTAATAATTAATAAAGTATTATGTTAAAATGGTATTGGGATTTTTCTCCATACAATGTTGTCCAAGGCAAAAATCTTAGTGCAAGTTTTATTTTGCATTAAACATATTGTACGGTATAGGCCAATGAATACCTTCTAATATCCCTTGGCACAAGTGCATGCGAAAACTACAGAGAGCCAGCATTAGGGCAAGCAGGAAAGGCCAACGTTTCAATGCGATCGGTTCGCATCAATGGCAACGTCCTTTTCTGCTCGCTCCAATGCCAATTCTCTGTAGCTTTCAGTAGCGCTTGGGATATTAGAAGATATTCGTCGGTCGATACCATATGCTTTATTTTGTTGTTGAAACCAACGTTATTCATTACTTTATTGTCACAATTCGATTTCTTTTCTTCATATTCCTCTAGATTGGATTGTCTATGATCTGCATTTTCTTTTTCTTCTGTTGCAATGTCATTAACTTTTGAAGAAAGGGTTTCATGTTCATTTACATCAAGTGTTGTTTCTTTATCTGTAATGTAAGTTTCATTTTTAAACTGAAAAAAGTTAAAATTTGTAAAGTACCTTGGTCAGTTATTACATCATTTGATGAACTAACTTCTTCACTACCTTTACTAGTAGCCTTAACATATTTCTCTAAAATGTATTTCAATATAAACAACATAATTTTTTTATTTTTATTTTGTATATAAATATTCGTATAATTTTCTGATTCTATTGAAGTCAGTTTTGGTTAAATTTAATACATACCATTTTGACAAGCTGCATTTTTCGATAAACAAAATATTTTTGTGGCATCTTCAACTACAGCAGGTTCATCTAAAATGTGTTTTATTCTTTTACAATTTTTAAAAAAATAATAATTACTGTAATCAGGGAACCATATTAAAACAATAAACAATTACTTAAATAATAATGATAATTCCGGAATTTGAGGAACAAATTCATGAACCTTTAAGGATGAAAATCAAACTGGAGAAAATTGGAAAATTGAATCAAAAAAATTCTGCTCCGAGCAGGGCTCGAACCCGAGCCCTTTGGGTTGCTTAAATGCCTAATACGGCATTTCTTTTTTTTTATTTTTAGAAAACAGAAATTTACTTGGTTTTATTCATACACAAAACGTTAATAATTGACAATAGTTATGAGGATCTAACACAGATACCTAAAACTGTGTCATTTCTAGGAAAATTATTGGGTGGGTGGGTTGAGCTTTGACACTTAGGCCTTACTGGGCTCATTGTGCGTCCTCTTAAATTGAAAGGCCCCTCTTAGCTCTTATATCAGTCAGTGTCAGTCAAAACACGCTCAACACAAATATTCTAATAAACGAGTGTGTCAGGCAATCATAGAGGATATGCTTGATGATCGCATCTTCTTGTTTGCACCCCCTGCATAGTGCGGATTTTGACAGCCCCATGCTATGGAGATGCTTCCGTACTTAATAATAACAAGTGATTAGACACAGATTCTGTCTAGTCATAGTCAAGTATTTGTTTGTTATGCTGTTATCAGGGTAACTTAAAAGCACCCTGACAACTCTGCAGCTTCTTGTTTCATTCCACCTTTCCTAGAATGTCACAAAGGAATGTTCTTTAATTAGGTTTGTTGTCAATCCAAAAAGTATTTGGTTGGCTATCTTCTTGGCTAGTGAATTTCGATGTAGCATAATATTTGATCCATCACAACGTTGATGGATACTTCGGCCAAAGTTTCGTGACATTCCAGTACTATCCCTGAGTAAATTTAATGGTCTGTCCAGGGTGAGTAGTCCTTGTCTGCCATATGTATCTTGTCCTTCCATTAATATTGTTTCTGATAATTGATTTTGCTAATATGAGAATCCCCTTGAGCTTGGTTTGAACTACACTGGCACTATTGCTCACAGCTCATTTTATTTTTAGGGTAAAGAATCTCGAGTATATTCCACATCCTAAACGTTGTTTTGTTTTAGAACTGTCTGTGTAGATATGAATAGTACCTACCACTTCCGGCTCCTATTTATTGCTTATAGTTTATGGAAGATATATTTCGATGAGATGGAGTCCATGTTCGCTTGAAGCAGTGGAAGCGTATCAACTCCTCCCGCCAAACGTGACGTCTTGCCTCATCAGATCCTACATCAGGTTCTATTCCAACGATGTGGAGTCGTGTCATTGTTATCAGAGCAACCTCGTTGATGTAAATATCAAGGGTAGTGAGACTAATAATAACTTCCATGGCTTTGGTTGATGTAGTTTTCATGGCCCCTGTTATGTTGAGACATGCTGTCCTTTGAATTTATTCTAGTTTGCAGAGAGCGGTCAATTATTGAGTTTTCGGTACTCAGACAACTGAACCAGATGTTAGCATAGATCTTATGAGAGACCACAGGTGCGCCTTATGGTTCGGCGGCATTGTTTACAAGAAATAAGGATAATTTCCTGACCATAGTAGAATTTTATGTAGATAAAAAGTTCCTTGGTTTATTCGGTCATATTGTTTTTATTTTTAAAATAACAGAAACCCTATCTTTCTGTTACACAGAGTGTGAAGGTGTATACGAAATAATGTCCCCCATGTTTAAAAAAAAAACGATCAAGTCTCTTTTACTTATGTATTAATAACTTTTGTTCTGTTATTGTATTGTATCTTATTTTTTATTTCTTTTTTTATTTGGCATTTTCTCTAATCTTGTATATTGTGTTGTAGAGTGTGCATGATTTATCTACGATGTTCAAATTAATAATCAATATTTAATTTTTAAACCTTTAATATTGTTATATATACATATATTATTTTTTATAAATGGTACTCAGTTAAGCTGAACAGCTCTGCTGGACTTCGCCAAGGATTAATAAAATAAAGTTATTATTATTATTATTATTATTATTAAATATTGACTACACCAGAAGATGGAAAAATGTTGCGAAACATATGTAGTGCTTGTGCTTAAATTATATAAAAAAAAAAACAATATGATTTAATAAACCAATGAACTTTTTATTTATATAAAAGTTTATAAGAAATATATGCGCTTTTGACAATTTTTTCTAGGTGTGAGTTCTACGTTAAATTGTTAAGGTGAGACCTAGGTACTTCATCTCTGTTGCAAGGTTTAATTTTGTGTTTAGGAGCTCTGGAGGTTTTAGCCATTAAATATAGAAATCATTATGCAAAAAGGTCTAATTTAAAAACAGTTTGAGGTTAGGTACTCATTTTGTTTAGTATAAATATGGTTTTGATTGTATAGTTATGCTATAAGGGTTCACCCAGAAACATACTTAGAAGTAATATAACTGGATAAATATAATTAAGAGGTTAATCACTCACAGGCCAATTTACATTTATACACTTATTATGTAAAGGCTGTATGTCACGATACTAAAAATTAAGTAGTAAATTTAGCACTAAATTAAGTTATTAATTTAGTACTAAATTTAGAACTAAAAATATTTTTTCCGTTTGCAACGATACCAATTTTTAGTACTGAATTAACTATAGGCGCACGCGCATTGACATATTAATACGTAAAATTAGCAGAGAAATGAAATATTCTGTGTAAAATAGACAAGTGAAGTAAATGATGTTTTTATTATCAATTTGACACTAGTTGACTTGATAACAATCAAATACAGCAATGCTACGTGAATGCAATTTAGTTGCCACGAAAAAAACACAATAAATCTACAAAATCAAACAAGCGAACTTTATTCAAGGCGATAATGCAAAATTGTCGCTAATTAAAAACAAAATGGTACAGAAAATACCACCGTGTCAACTTTTTCTGTGAAAAACTTCTGCGCAACATTTCGACGCACTTTTAGTACTAAATTTAGTAGGAAATAGAACAAGTTCTAATTAATTAATTAATTTTATTAGTACTAAATTTGCTGTTTGCAACGTGAATTTTTTTTAGTACTTAAAAAATGCATTAATTTAGTTCTAAATTTAGTATCGTGACATACAGCCTTTAGACGATTAGAAAAGTAACTGGGTACAAGTAATTAAAAAAAAATATTTAAATAAAAAAATTACAATTTTTGAACGCCGATCATATTGACCAGTGCTGCATTTGCTGTTAGAATGTAAGAAATAATAAAAGTGAAGGAATTTAAAAATTAATAAAGTTATATTTAAATATTTTCGAAACTTTTCATTAATTAGATTTACATTTTCCTTTCAAAAGTGAATTTTACAATAATATTAATAATTTATATACCCAAAAAATATACAAATGAGAAAAATTGTATCTTTCATTTAGCAAAAAGATTCTTAATAAAAAGTTCTAAATCACTTGGAAATTTCTGAATCACTTGGGAATCCATAATCAAGTATTAAATTTTGTAAAATATAGTTAGTATACAGGGAAAATAAAAATATAGATTTATAATGAAAAGTGAAATACTTTAAATTTAATATGCTTAAGTTTAAATCATTGCACTTATTTTTAAGTGATTTCGATTTACTTTATTTGATAAATAATCTAAAACCAATGCTAATGTGTATATTGGAAAC